ATTGGACTGGAGCGACGTTAAGCACGGTCGACGACGAAAATTTCGTCGTAAGTTATCGTCGCGGTCGTTCCGCGTCGTCCTCGCCGGGGACCCGTCTCGGCTCGCTATTAATTCGACGGGCTTTCCGATCGGTCGATCTGTTATACTCCTGGTCAAGGAAAGATAGAGATTCAATTAGGAAATGGTTCTGGGTCTCCTCGTGTCGTATCTCAAAGCGTTAACGAAAGAGGAGTTCGTATGCTTGAGGTAAAACCGATATTCGATTCGGGAGTAGAACAAGAATTTTAATTGATTTTACAAAGAGAAAACAGATAAAAAAAGAGAACTCGATGTTAAGCATTTAATTAGGAACGATGACTTAAGTTGTTTGCCGGTGATCGCTATCGAATAATTCGTTCATTTTACTGTATTACGGTATCCGTATTGATTTTAATTGTATTTATGTTGATTGGGCACGAGCGTACGCGGAATTCGTAATCATGCAAAACTCAAAGTAAATGACAAGAATACGGCATTTTGAAGAAATTCTTTGTGACTTCGAGCAAGGCTCGAATAATCGCATCTCCTCTTCCCAAATTGTCCATTTTCTTTTTTTGCGTGATCTGAGCGCGAATTAGGGTGAAATTACTGTACTACGAAAAACAACGAAATCTTTTCTAAAAGGAAAATCCTAATGAAACGACCCACATTATAAACATTATATTTACCAAGCAGTAAATATGACTGACGTGTGTTGCTTTATAATAAAGATAAGACTGAATTTATTCAGACCTTTCGCCATCTTTATTATAGCGTGTGTTTGAATTAAAGAATGTATTCAGTCGCTTTCTGCGAAGAAGTCTCCATAATTTGAATAAGCTTAAAATAAGAAATGCGAAACCGGTGATTTCAACTGGCAGATTTCGTGTTAAAATGACGCTTGAAAGAAAGCAAAACCGGCGAGGTTCGAGCGTCCTACGAACATGCGATTGCTGTACCGGGTCGCGACAGACCCGGGCGTCGCCGTTCGATGCTCGCCATCTATTTTCCCGTCGAATCGGATCTCCGCTCGAAATTTCTCGGCTAACGTCACTAGAAACTCAACGGTCCGCATTCCCGCGTCGCGTTGTCCATTTTGTCCATTTTTGTGCGCAATCTGACCGCGAATTAGGGAGAAATTACTGTAATTACTGTTCTATCATTCGACTAACGGCGTCTCCCGATTGGTTCGATCAATCTATTAGGTTGGCAACTAAGTAATTGCCGATTTCAGTTATAGATGTCTCTCACTCCCATTTTTATGATATCCGTAAATGTTATTTTATAAAATTATCATTATTATTATTATGTTATTTTTTATTATCCGTGAATGTTAGCAACTGGACAAATTGACTGCAGCGGTCAAGGAAAAGCGACCAGAATTGGTCAATCGTAAAGGTGTCATTTTCAACCAGGACAATGCTAGACCGCATTGACTTAGCTATTTCTTTTCAACCAAAATACAATTTTATTCCCCTGCTATCAAAATTTAATTACTTCTCTTTTATATAATATTGCATTCTCTTGTAGCTAATATTTAATCATTTTGTTTCAACCGAAATAAAATTCTGTTAGCTTGCTATTAATATTTAATAATTTCTTTTCAAATTCGTTTAATACTATTCATACTTAATTATTCCTTTTTAACCGAAATACAATTTTATTCACCTGCTACTAATATTTAATCATTCCATTTTTACGATATCCGTAAATGTTATTTTATAAAATTATCATTATTATTATTATGTTATTTTTTATTATCCGTGAATGTTAGCAACTG